CACTTGGCCCTGCATTTATCCCGGACCACTATCCTTCAAGGTTAATTTGCCCCACGTTACAGTCTTAGAGACTGACACTGTATCTGCACACGTGGGCCGTGCAAATCGAGGACGCAGGTCACGGCCGGAGTGCACGGTCAAAAATCACAGAACGGAGCAGTCAAACACCCGATAGAGTCCATAATTTTTCCGACTTGCTAGACTGGACTGCCTAAAAGTAAGGTTGTGGCAGTTCGCATCTCCTTGCCCTCCGCCTTTGTCACTCTGCCTTCCTGTCCGCCTCACACTCCTTGTCGATACGCTGCTGGGACTCGCCATCGCTCCAGGCCAATCAACACTGACCTCCCTCCGATTGGCTGGCCGACGCGGAGACAACGGAGGGCGCACACACGCGCTAGGACAACATCTCGAAGGCGGACACAGACAACACATCGAAGGCGGACACAGACAACAACTTGTCTGAAGAGCACGCTTGCGGCGACTGCCCACACAGCCTTGGTGTACACGTTTTCCAAACAGTAAAGGTTGTGCTACTAATTTCGTCTTCCCTGGCTTTTGATTGGGAATCTTTATCTTGTCGACCACACACTGCTTACGACAAGGTGTTTGAGTTAATTCACGCACTCTGGCTTGTCTGGGTGCAACCACTCCGAGGCGCATTGTCGAACCTCGTGAAACTCTGGCATCGCCTCCAAATGCATCAAGCAGAACGTACACCTAAAAATGGACACCCCTTAGTAGTGGAAGAACACTGAAGAAGGCTGCCTCTCCAACGCCGTTGACCCAGGAAGATCAAAGATAGGGCTTAAGTTAGTGGGACAAGCCCGCCAGACGCTAGAGGCAGAAGATCTGCTAAATAGACATAAAGGGCCAGATCGGAATCCGGTAGGCGTTACCAGGGATGCGCACCTATAATAAATGCCAACACTGGGGTATGGTGACAAGACCGCTTGCCGGTTCACGCCCCGCCAGTTTGGATCTGTGTCCATTATGGTAGCATGCCCAGGTGAGGGTTTTCGTCGTGCCAACAACCGGCGTCCTCTCTCGTCTTCGGTCTACATGACTCCGTTTTGACACGAGACCCATGTCGAAGAGGAGGGAGTGCGGTAGATGCTACGCAAGTCTACTAATTCACCGGCCCTTCTCCCACCCTCCTGTGGAACATATGGCGGACATCTTCAAAGTCGAAGGCTGAACTATCGCTGGGGTTAGGGTTGGCATTGCGTGACGCTTTGATTTTTGTGTCTATTCCGTTCTTCACGAAAGGGTTGACTTGTGAAACATTGTGAAATTCAATCCAATAAACGACAATTCGTGCTCTTAGAAGGCACCTAGAAGTTTCCGCTGGTCGTCGACCACTGAAAG